ATACAACGATGCAACAAGGGGCCTCACACCAGATTCTACACGACTCCGAAACGGACAGATCAACCGTTCTTACGTGGGCTGCTAAGGACCTCAAAGTTAGGTGGAAGACACTGCCTGACTTCATGGGAAGTGATCACGGCCCCATCAGCATAGGCCTCCTGCTACGAGTGTTTCCTAGGAAACCCGCGACCTTCATCAAGTGGGATGCCTTTTGTGCCAACATAAACATCCCCAGAGACCTTCCGCTTGATCGAAAAATTGTGGAAGCGGTAAATCTTTCCAAGAACACGTACCAAGTCAAAGAGGGTACGCCGACGTCGGATCTTCACATCGCGAATCTGTGGGCTTGGAAACTGTCGGCTCTAATGACGTACAGGACAAAGAAAATCCCCAAAAGGGTGGTCATGCTCAACCTGGCAGCCACCAAAGCCAAACGTTACACACTGAAACTCTTTCGCAACCGATGGAGGGGACTGTACACTCATTCAATGAGAGGACCGCCCACGCCGGGTCTGGCGGACTTACAAGGGCCTCGCGGGCAAGACCAAGACTCGCAACAGTGGCAGCACCTTAGTCCTGCGCCTCGGAGTGTCGGAAGAGGACCTAATCAACGATGCCAGTAGCTTCTTCCCACAGATATCTTCGCTACCTCGAACTGAGATATACGCTCCGGTTTCGGACAACGTTAAGGAACCGGAGAACGCCCCCTCCACGTTGGGCGAGCTCATCGAGGCTCTTAGAGTCCGCCAAGACCAACGCGGCCCCTGGCCCAGACGGCATCTCCGTCACTAGCCTTCGGAACCTGCCAACGAAGGACATGAAAGAGCTCCTGCAGATGTACAACGACGCGCGGGATTGCGGTGAGATCCCGGCCGACTGGAAGAAATCCACAGTCCTCCATGTTCCCAAGCCCGCAAAGCTGTCCGGCGGGTTGGCCAGGACACCGAGCGTTGTACGAAGAGCAAGGTTTTATTTATTTATTTGTGTATTCACGGTACCTCAGAGGCCCAATTATGTGCGTTACATGAGGGGAGTACATTCAGTGTAAGCAGCGATCAGAACAAAAAAACAAAAACTTCCCCCCCTCCCGCCCCCCCCCCCCCCTCTCTCTTTGGGGGGGGGGGGGGAGGGGAGGCGTGTGTTTAAGGCTTGGTGAAAAGTTGATTAGATGGGCCGATGCACCAGTTCCCGTTGCACATCACCACGCTGTTCACCACACCGCCGAAGCAGCTAAAGTAGTTCAACAGGATATCCTGCGTCGTCTACCAGCTGAGACCACCGACAATTATTTTATTCTGCTCTTCGGTGTTCCGTCGTGCCAACGCTGTGCCGATTTGAAACTTGGAAATCGAGGCTAAAACTGGCGTTCGCTCGGGGCCAAAAGGTCGAGGCGTGTGTTGAGGTATGGTCGGGGAGGCGGGTGCGACTAGACGTCGTCGATGTTAACGTTGTCGGAAGGAGGGGCCCGCTGTCTTTCAGGGCATGATCGGGAAAGAACGATCAATGCGGCCACCACATCGGCCGACGTCAAAGGCCGAGTAGATGCCGTTACTTTCTCATCATAACGTTGCTGGCGCTCGATGTGTTGGTCCCCTCGTGAGTGCCGGCGCTCGGAGATAAGGTGCACTCTGGAGAGGGCACACAGCGTCGTTTGCTCCATGTCCGTGTGAACGCAGGGCGCATCTTGGGCGCACCGCTCTTGTAGAGTGTGGCCTTTGAACGGCGGCGGGACGGCTGCCGAATCAAGTCCGTGAAGCACCTGGGGCTGATGGTCCCAGTCCGCCCGGGATGCGGACCCCACAGGTGTATTCTGCTCCATTATGCAATAGGTGGCCGCGTCGCTGGTTTGGGTGCGTCGCCGGGGCGTCCGGTGGAAAGCCGGCCTCCGTAAAGAGGGAAGGGGGGGGGGGTGGGGGGGGGGGCTCGGCGAAATTTTTCTTCAGGGGGTGAACGGAAGCGTAAAGCATAGTTGAGTAGAAAAGGTATAACTTATTCAGCGGCCGTCACGTGCGTCGCGTTAAATAAAGGGTCTCAAATCGTTTATGTTAATATGTTCAGTGATCGAACCTTTATCTGGGCGTCCAGAGTCGGTAGGATATATGCTAGACGGCAAAAGCGTGCTGCGACCGAGAGAGGGCTTTTTCATCTCCTGGCTAGGGAAGCCGAGATCCCTTGATCGGCGTTACTGATTGGGTGGGTTCGGCGGAGATATTGTACGTCCCTTCGGCCTTTGTTATATTGTAGCTGCTGTTCCGATTCAGAGTGTTCGATATTCTCCCGTGCCATTCCCTCTGCGTCAATGATATTGCGTAGTCGTTGTGCAAAAGCTGAGTGCGAGTGGCGTGAGCCACTTTCGGTGTTATTCAGTAGGTCGTTTTCTAGGGGCCTTCTAAGGTCGAAGTTGAAATGTGCTGGAGTGAAGCCGGTAGGTCTATTTTCTGTCCGTGTAGCAAAAGCAATCTCCGGTGTATGCGCGTTCCAGTGTTTGTGGTTGGTTGTGTAAAAGATAAAGCATGGCACAAAGGTTGCGGTTCATCTCTCTGTGATGTTGGCCTGTGGGTAGTACGGGGAAGTACACTGATGTCGGATAGCGAGAACCTCACAGCAGCTGTCAAACACGCGACTTCTGTTAATATACGTTGCTTGATCGGTTATAAGCACAACAGGATATCCATACTGGAAGAACGTTTTCCGGAGCTTTTCCAAGATTTTTTTAGATGTGGGTAGACACAGGGGATGGAGGTCTACCCACTTAGAGAAGTGGTCGGTGACGACCAGGAGGTACCTGTTGCCTTGCGGGCTGCGTGGAAACGGACCCATTATATCACATGCAACAATCTCTCAGGGATAGTTGCTCTGAACCGATTGCATCAGACCAAGGGGCTTGCCGCCGCGGGGTTTTACCGTTTGGCACTGATGACAACCGCGGGTGTAACGCCAGCCATCAAGGTTCATTCTAGACCAGGTCGCAATACGGAACAGTTTGTGGTATGTTTTCTTTCCATCGCTGTGACCTGCCAGAACGCTGTCGTGAAAGTAGCGTATGAAGGATTGTCGCAAAGTTTTTGGCACAACCACCCGAAACGGCGATGTTGTCGTGTCAGCTTCATCTGCGTCTGGTATAGATCGAAGTAAGATACCATCGCCAGTGTGGACCTATGTGTCTACCGGGCCTTCCGCGATGTCTTGTTGCCCTGAAGTTGGGTGCTGTAATTGAATCTATATTTGATGGCAGAGATCGTCTGCTCGTTGGGCTTCGAGCAGGCCTTCTCTGCTTATACAAATGCACCCCATGAAAATTCCTCATTTGTGACGGCGACGAGCTCCGCTTGCTCTGCTTTTGTTTGGGGGGGGGGGGGGGGGGGGGCAGGGGGGGTGAGGGGAGGGGAGGGGAGGGGAGCTCGGGTCAAGAGCAGGATTACCTCGGGTGGAATGAAAGAAACGCCAGTAGGAAGGAGAGCTAGGGAGAAAGCTTCTTTGTGCTAACTTGGGGGCGAAAAATAAGCCACCATGGACACAAAATCGATGTCTCAGGAGCTGAGTCTAGGTCACCGTCGATCTTCTTAAAAAATGCGGAAGTAACTATTAAGAAGTGAGTACAAGTTACTCGCGAAAAGCATCCAAGTTGGAGTACTGAGTACTGACTTTTGAAAGTATTTGCAAGATATCAAGTTACTCCCAAAAGTATTTAAGATTCATTAACTTAAGTAGAGTATTTAGGTTACACAGAAGGCTGTGTTTAATGCCATGAATGCGAAAAACACCGCAACGGACCCGTCTTTTCGTTTACGTCATTGCAGAACGTTTCTGACAATCTGCTATGTCTGAATTTTTCGTAACGTTTGTCCGTATAATCAAGCGCAGAAAAAAAAAATGCACCAAATTTTTCCTTTACAGTCTAGAAAAAGAAGATGTAGCCTTACACCCTTTGTCACATATAAGACTACCCCCCCCCCCCCCCCCCCCCCCCTCCCCCCAAAACTTCCGTTTGACGTACAGCGCACTGACATCGAACTGACGGCTCCAACTTTTACGAGGGGCTTGATAACGGTGCGGTATAACATATTAAACTTGCTAAAACACGTATAAAAGTCTACAGAAAAAAAGAAACAAAAAAAAAAAAAAAAACCCCGAGGGTTTGCAGTAGGGCCAAGAAAAGCCCGATTAACTTTTTGCAGTCAGTCAACGTACATCAGCTATTTTAGTAAATCGTACAACTCTGCAATCAAGCCGCTCGTGCAAGTTAGTGCCGTCGGTTCAACGTCGGTGCGCTGTACGTCCAAGTGAAGTGTTGGGATGTTGTATATGTGAGAAGGGGTGTGGTAGTATACCTTTTTTTTTTTTTTTCTTAGAGTGTAGGAATGCATTACCGGAAGTGAATTTTAGACTGGTTGCTGTCTGCTTCAATTTGCAGCTGCCCACTAGTGCCAGCTGAACCTCCTGGGCACATTATAATAACTTTATGGGATATGCTAGAATGATTCGTAGCGTCCATTGCATGAGAGCGGACGTAAAATGAAACGAAAAAGGGCAACATATTACCGGTTAAAATTAGAAGAGCTTTGAATCTAGAGCAAGTAAAATGTGTTTAAAAGTGTACACAGGCGGGTGATGTTTTCTATTCTCATGAACTTAAACGATTGTTCATACCGCGTGCCATCGTAACATCTGCAGGCCAAGTGTGTAGATGCAGCATCTGCTAGTCCAATGTAGAGGCTTGACATATTTTATGAACGTGAGTGTAAAGAGGACATTTACCCGTAGCAGAGTTCTAGATTGTTCCGACAGCAGTTGCCACAGCCGTTCATTTTGGTTTATAACGGATGCGCTAAAACGCATCTGGGCATCTGCGTTTCTCCGTTTGTTCAGCTTACAGATTTTTAAAAAGTCGCCGGTATCGGTGGTACGCGCGTGCCTTCAGACTGCGATTTGGCACATGTAATTCTTATTTCAAAAAGCTGCTTCGTTCATATTGCTACTCATCAAGCGATTTGGAACTCATGGCTGCTTTCTGCACTTCACCTTTATGGGACTGGAACTATACCTGGCACTCGGAATATCCAAGGCTGACGCCATGCTTCGAGACTACGGTCCTCGCCTACGCGCCTGCCACTCTGCTCGTGCCGTTCGGCCTCATCTCGTCGCTTCTGGGACGGCGGAAAAAGCACTACGAACCCCTCTCCTGGACTCTGTTAAGTATCTCCAGATTGGCTGCGAGTCTTCTGCTGACCCTCACCTACGCCTTGTCGCTTATGTATAGACTGACCGTAGAGACATCGTCCTCGTCATCGGTGATAGCGGATCTCGTGCAATGCATCACTTTCGCCATTGCCATGAACACTCAGGAGAATTGCCGAAAGAGGGGAATTGGATCTTCGATGTTGCTGTTTTCTTTTTGGTCGGTGACTGCTGTCTGCATGTTTCCCGAATATTCGCGCCACATGTGGGATGTCTTTGCCTCCGAAAGTTATTTTCCCAACGTCTTGAGGTTCTCTGTGATTGCTACAACTTACCCTGTTGTTCTCCTGCAGTTGTTGCTATCCTGCTTGACTGACGCCATGCATGACGTAAAAAGGCCCTACCTTACCGCCCCACCGGTGTCCTTCCTTCTGTTCGGATGGTTGTCAAATCTCGTACTTCAGAGGTCCCAGCGCTTTGTCCAGCTTGAGGATATTTACAACATGCCAGCAGACATGAGGACTGGGCGAAACCACAGTAGGTGGAACGCGCTTTGGATGAAGGAACTGGATTCAGCTGGATACGTACCAGGAAACGGATCATGTAGTGCCTCTAGACCGTTACCTTCAATGTTCTGGTCACTGTGGAAAACGTACTGGAAGACTGTTGTAATTTCGTGCATCTTAGCTACACTACGAGCCATAACCAAGATAATCACCGCTCTTCTGTTCTATCTTCTTATGGGTTACATGGCCGGAAACGACCCCACGTGGAAAGGGATATTGTACGCCGTCGGTATGATAAGCGCCAACTTTGGATCAGGCCTGCTTGCTGTCCACGCGAAGAGGACACTCATCTTTGCGGGGCTAAATGCAAAAACTGTATTGGTGGCAGCAGTTTATAGGAAGGTACTTCGGCTTTCCAGCGAGTCACAGAGGGACCACACAATAGGGAAGCTAATCAACTTGATTTCTGTTGATGCTGATCGAATCACCAATCTTTGTTTCAGTTTTGGTCATATGGCCAGTGGGGTGCCGCTGATTGTGATTGCAGTGATTCTTCTGTGGCAGTTCCTTGGAGGGGCCTGTCTCGCCGGGGTTGCTGTCATGCTCATTATAATGACTCTGACGGTACTAGCGTTCTGCGTCGGGAAAAAATACCAGATACGTCAAATGCGATTGAAAGACAAACGTCTAAAAAATGTGGCAGAGATGTTGAGCAGCGTGAAAGTTCTCAAGCTGTTTGCCTGGGAAGATGTCTTTATTAGCAAGTGCACATCCTTGCGCCTAAAGGAAATGGGTCTGCTGAAGAAATATTCGTATCTTGCTGCGCTTTCCTTTTTTCTCCTTACTTGTTCGTCATCTATGGTTTCTCTAGCGAGCTTCATTACATACGTGTGGATCAGCGATGATCACATCCTCGACCCAAGGACTGCGTTTGTGTCGTTTACACTGTTTAATTTTATGCATGTCCCCATGTTTCTAATTCCAGATTTTATATCGAACGCGGTTCAGGCGAGCGTTTCAATGGTGAGAATTCGGAGATTTTTACTGTCTTCTGAAGTAGAGGACTGTTCAGTCGGTCGACGGCTTGATAAAAACAACGCGGTCTCTGTCAAAAATGCAACTCTTTTCTGGTCGAAGGACAGAACCCCGGCGTTGAGCAACATTAACCTCACAGTCAAGACTGGTCAACTGGTCGCAGTCGTTGGACCCATAGGCTCCGGCAAGTCGTCTTTGCTGTCTGCATTGCTGGGAAACCTTAGGATTGGTTCGGGATCCGTGGATTGCATAGAGAGTGTAGCGTACACCCCTCAGTGTGCGTGGATCCAGAACAAGACCATACGAGAAAACGTGCTCTTTACGGGTAAGTACGACGCCGAACTGTACGAGATGGTTCTGAAGGCGTGTTGCCTCGAGCCAGACTTGGCGATCCTTCCAGGTGGAGACATGGCGGAAATCGGAGAAAAAGGAATCACCCTAAGCGGTGGTCAAAAACAGAGGGTCAGTCTTGCAAGAGCAGCTTACCAGAAGAAAGACCTTTATCTATTTGACGATCCGCTCAGCGCAGTGGACACTCATGTCGGAGCCTCCCTTTTCAAGGACGTTATCGGGCCACGAGGAATGCTCAGAGAAACCACACGGATCTTGGTCACCCATAACCTTTCGGTGCTCAGTGAAGTAGACTACATTGTCGTCATGCAGGAAGGGTCGGTTGTTGAGACTGGTACCTTTGAAAAACTCAAACATGAAGGAAGTGTTCTTTCGGGATTGCTAAAAAACGTTACACAGAAAGCTCCAAAATTTGCAGTTAATGAGAACATGGCTACAAATGTAGACTTTGAATCAGACATTGAGGGGGAACCAAAGACTACTCTTGTGCAGGAGGAGGCAGTAGAGGAAGGTTCAATAAGCCTCCGAGTATTGAGAACTTACATACGACACGCTGGATCCTTGCTGCTGTTGGTGATTTTGTGTTACGCCGCTTACACTGCAATCGGAGTGTTCGTTGCTTTATGGTTAAGTGAATGGACCAATGATTCACTATCGTCTACCGGAACTCACGCCCTATATCTTCGCGCCTACAGAATTGAGGTATCCGTCCTCCTCGTAATTTTCCAGGCCTTCTTTAATTTTATCGCAGTCGCCTTGCTGTGGAAGGTAGCGCTTTCCTCCTCCACAAGGCTTAACCTGTTGATGCTCAAGGGTGTGATGAGAGCGCCTCTTTCATTTTTCGATGTCACCCCCTCTGGACGATTATTGAACCGCTTCGGCAAGGACGTTGATCAGCTTGATGTCCAGCTTCCAACGTCAGCTCACCTTGCTCTTCATTGTTTGTTACTGTTTGCATCGTCTGTTGTCCTCATATGCACATACTTTCCGACGTACATCCTGGTTGTTGTTCCTGTTACAGTGTGCCTCCTGGTTTTACGTCAAGGGTACGTGGTCCAGTATCGTCAAGTGAAAAGGCTGGAGACCGTCGCACGTTCTCTAGTTAACAACCATATTTCCGAAACACTTGCAGGCTTGAGCAGCGTCCGAAGTTTCAACGTTCAGGGTATTTTCGTGCGGGAGAACGACGAAAATATTGACAGCTTGCACACCTGTACTGTGTACGGCCGTCTTTGTGAATGCTGGATTGAAGTCTGGACGGAGGTAGTCAATGAAATGCTTCTGTTTTTGATGTTGTTGCTCCTCGTTGCCCGCCGCGACACAATGAGCGCGGGAACAGCAGGTCTTCTAGTGTCTTACACGATCAATGCTGTATCCGTGTTTATCCACTTTATTTTCCATTCGACCGGACTAGAAGCAACTTTGATATCAGCCGAACGTTTAGATGAGTACAGGCGTCTGACACCCGAAGGGCCGTGGAAATCCAAGTTAAGACTGGACCCGCACTGGCCCCACGCAGGTGCGGTGTCTTTCAAGTCTTTCTCGACTCGGTACCGAGATGGCTTGGACTTCGTACTCAAAGAAGTCAACCTAGACATTCACGCTGGTGAGAAGTTGGGGATCGTGGGACGAACGGGTGCCGGCAAATCGACAGTAGCACTAAGCCTTTTCCGCATTATCGAAGCAGCGGCCGGAAGTGTTGTAGTAGATGACGTGGACATTGCAGCCATAGGGTTACGGGACCTCCGTTCCCGGTTGACCATAATACCACAAGACCCGGTCTTGTTTCACGGCACTCTGCGGTTCAACCTCGACCCGACCGGGCAGCACGACACTAGCGAGCTCTGGTGGGCACTGAATGAATCTCATCTTGGTGACTTCTTCAGAGAAAATCGTGGTCTGGACTTTGAAGTTGCAGAAGGCGGACTCAACCTCAGCCTGGGACAGAGGCAACTGGTTTGGCTCGCGAGGGCTGTTTTGAGAAGGACAAAAATACTCGTGCTCGACGAAGCCACGGCATCGGTGGACATGAACACCGACATGTTGGTTCAGCAGACACTGAGAGATGCGATGAGTGGGTGCACTGTCCTGACCATAGCTCATCGTCTTCATACGGTTCTGTCGTCGGACCGCGTCGTTGTGATGGACCAAGGAAGTGTCGTTGAAGTCGGTAGTCCGACAGAACTGCTGACTGATACGACGTCGTCGTTCTACGCAATGGTTCGCGAAGCGGGAGTTGAATATCACGGCGCCAAGGTGTGAGCTTTTGTAGGTCAGATCTTTTGGATGCACTGGGTGTGGGAGCGTCTAAACGGACCTGACTCTCTTTAACTGTCATGTATCGCACATTTTTGTGGCAACTTCTTGGCAAGTGCATCTCCATCACTTATTAAAATAAAATAACATTTTTTTATTCCTTTTATATTTAGGTTTTAACGTTGCACAATTTGTGGTTGTGTACAGGGTCAGATTTATGCATAAGACTTAGAGGGTGAGGGTGCGATGGGGGTTTATTTATTTCTCGACTTTATTTATGTGTTATGAAATCACATTGGCAGCCGCGTGCTCAGGGTTTCATAAAATATGATTATTAATTGCTTCAATGAAACATCTTTTTTTTTTTTTTAAATGGGGCGGGGGGGGAGGAGGTCTCAAAGAGAAATGTAGCGTCAGCTACAGATGTGACATTAACGTCGGAGTGGTTATCCCGCTAAATTCGGCAGAAACGTTTTCTCGCTAAACTTAGCTGGCAATGCTTCCGTTTGAGTCTCATTTATTTTAGAAATCTGACGGAAGCGGATTTTCCGTTCACAGAAACTTCGTGGGAGACAACAATCTTTTGCATAACATAGAGAAAGTTTATGTAATAAGGACCCATAAGTCCGTTATACTTAAAAGGGAAAAAAGAGTCTGACCTTAAACACTGTAAATTTAGAATTTCTCTCTATAACGCAAAAAAATTGCTGCAAGTAGTCTTTTTTTTTCCCCCGCTGTGAGATGACTTGCTATAATAGACTCTTTTCAAAAATGCACGCCATCTAGTAGCCGTTGCGCCAATTATTCGAGTCCGCCATTGTTTCATCACGTGCTCTGAGCATGTACTCGACTCGAGCGTTGCGTCAGCGTTCGGCGAGGACTGGGATCCAATCGCACTTGTCCAAGAAATGGCGACCGCCAATGTTGCTTGATGGGGTTTTGGAAATGTCTATTAGAGCTAGGGAGGGAAGTTAAAACTGGCGTAGAAGCACCCGTTGCATATTATTTATTTTTGAAGTATTTAAGCCCCAAAAAAAGGGGGGGGGGGGGGGTTCGCTTTAAATATATGACAGGGTCGCTAAACTCGTCGAACAGAAAGATTCTTTGCCTTATGACGTAGCGGGCGGAGTACCCGAGAGAATGCCACAAAGTTTCTTTTAGAGCGCATGCCCGTGTGCGCGTACAGCGGCGTTGGTGTCGCCGTTGCCATCGGCGTAACCGCGCGCGTTGCATTATGGGACATCACAGACCTACGCACCAATTCAATTCCCGGCTAAATTTAGCCGAGAAAATGACGTCACATGACTTAGTGTTACGTCACCTATGAATAAATTCAGTTTCCCCGCTAAATTTAGCGGTAAAGCGGACGTCACATGACTTCAATACCAATTTAGTTTTCCTGTTAAATTTAGCGGGGAATCGATTGGTGTTGAGGTCACGTGACTTCAATTTTCTCACTAAATCTAGCTGAGAAACTGAATTTGTTCATACTTGACGTGACGCGAAGTTTAGTGACGTCATTTTTCCCGCTATATTTAGCAGGGAAACTGAATTGGTGTTGAGCTGCGCTAGTTGCGCAAACCGCGCTATCAAATAGCGCTAAGCAGCGGGCCTTAGCTCGCAGGTCGACATACCCGTTGTGACCTCTCACAAATTCTCTACGCCTTCAGGCGAAATTAGGCCTGACAAAGGACTCATCGTCTCGCACAAGCCCCACACGCAAACACAAGCGCTTCATTCGGGCTCAAATGCCTCACGAACTGACGCCCGTGCACCGCCCTCACAGCCCTTACATCCCCCACCCACTCACGGTCCTCACACCCCTCACGGCCCTCACGTGCTCGTGGCCCTCACGCCCTAACCACCCTCACGCCCCCTCACGCACTCATACCCCTCACGCACTCACGGTCCTCACAGCCCTCACGGCCCTCAAGGTCCTCACAGCCCTCACGGCCCTCATGCCCTCACACCCCCTCGCGATCCTCACTTATCCTCACACTCATCAATTTTCGTGGTACAGAAACTCTCTCACCCTGATAATATAGTAAGGGTGCAGGCCAGCTGGTGAATGTTAACAATCTTGAATAAATCTGAGACTGGGGCAGAAGTGAACGTATATGTCGAAGGAACAGAAAAGGACCGGAGGTGTCGTCCTGTCCTTTTCTGTTCCTTTGACTTATATGTTCACTTCTGCCCCAGTCTCAGGTTTTATTCAACATTGTCTCTCACCCTCACCTCACCTGTGAAGATGAGGGTGAGTGAGGTCCAGCATGAGTGAGGTTTTCCGAGGTATGGTGGCCACACGTAACGTGAACTTATGAGGCGTTGTATAGCTCGGTTGCCTGGGTGATTTAGGCTGAGGAGTTGGTCGACAATATGTTGACGTATTTTGGGGGGGAACGTACGGTCGGTAATAAATAAACAAAATCAGGTCATGTGTGACCAGAGACAAACCGGTGGGTCTTGTCCACCGTTGCCGTCGTATGACAGGGACAGCCTATTTTCTTTCGCACTATTTGCAACTCCAACGCCCCTATAGGTGGCGGGGCGGTAGTTTCAAGATGGCGGAAGAAACGGGGATAGATTCTGCAGGGTTTCACGTGCGCCTGCTCGCTGACCCTGGTCAGTGCGCTAAGAATGATTTATTTGTCTGCAAGCACAAAGTGGTTGGGGCAGGATCATATTACACGTGACGGAGATGTTGATGCGCGTAAGCAAAATGAGCATGCTGATATTTAAAAGTTGCAGCAACCTCGCCTTGCGAAGTTTTGTGGTGGGTAAGCGCGTTTTACGTACCGGCCACGCCACTGTTTGTGGCAGAATATTTTTGAGGGTGCTAAAGATATAGAGTCTTCGCTTTGCCTGGCCATTAGTGCTCTAAAAAGTGAGCCGTCCAGCTTCGGAAGAGCAACGTTCACAGTATTGATGTCTTCGTGTCACAGGCTCGCAACTCGCTGCTCACCGTCTGGGTTTTAGCGTATTGCAACACGTGATCAAACTGCTCTATGGTTATTGATGGGAAGTTTGTTACCGCTGGCTACCGTGCGGTGTAGCATTACAGCCGGAGGCTCGCGCTGCGCCGTTGAAGCTCAATTTTCAGCGCGTGCCAGCAGCGTTGCCGCGCTCACGTAGCAAAAGGTAGCCTGCGATAACGCTATGCTAAAACTGCCTATTACCATAATCGACGTGTTTAGGGGTTTAGGGGTTTTATTTATTGCTCTACCAAAAATTCATAATTTAATATACCGTACATTTTGTTTTTTTGTACCGTGGTATTTGCAACGTTGCGGCCCCTCTCGCCAAAACTGCCCGTTCTAAGCTCTCGTCACGAACGTCTGGCTAACACAGACGCCCTTAGAATTCTTCGGGTATTTCTTTATTAACTTTGTAATTACCTGAAAGCAAGCACGCCTATTCTATATTTTAAAAAGTGCTTGGAATAAAGGATCATGTTCCTACGGCCTCAAAGCGCAAACCCAATCCCGACGTGCATTGCCCGACATATCGTTGCGGGACCAGTTAGCGGAAGCGTTTGCCGTCACGTTGAGCACAGATCGAGCTGGCGGTCATGCACAAGACCAGCAATCCGCAGCGTATGCGATATACAAAAAGTCCGTAATGAAATTAGACATCCCGGTCCTTCGTGCGACGCTGTTGCGAGGCGCAACACAAGAATTCCTATTTTAACGCGCTCAGCGGCGGCGGCCATGTTCCTCTAGTTCTCCGCTCGTCCGCGGGAGGGCGAGCGGCGTGATCTATGGCAGGATCATGTGTGACATTGATAGGACGAGTCAATTACTTCTCACCTGATTTACCACCGACTGATCAGGATGACCAGACTCGGCGAGTGCACCAGCTTCACGGATAAATAAATATTGCTTTGAAAGCGCCAAACCAGCAGGCCAAGTTCACTGAGGCAGCATGGAGGTGGCATCACTCAAGTATTTCACGCAGCGTATCGCATCGACAGTGGTGTGACCATAGCGTTGCCACGCCACCACGAAGAGACACGTACACCACAACGATTTTGCGACATTCCTTGTCACAAGGGCGACGATGAATGAACAAAATGAAGGCATCACCGTAGAGGAAGCTTCCGCTGATCTCGACAAGTTGAGCATGCTTGTCCCTCTCCTTAAACCTTGTTGTTACACGCTTTTTTTACCTACATTATGTCTAGCCTACACCAATTAGCCCAACTTATAACTTTCTTACGATACAGCATTCACCTGCATGGTTTTACCAAATTATGACTGATGTAGTGGAAGCAGACGGAATGCTGAAGAGAGGAGGTGTTTCCCCCCTCTCCTTTCAGCATTATGTCTGCTTCCTCCTCCCCTGCTCTCCTTTCCTATGAAAACTATTCTTAACATGTAACTAACTATAGCACATGCAGCAGATTCATGAGAATTATAATTCTTTACAGTTCACACAGGCCGAAAGCATGAGTGACCCACCGGTTTGTCTCTGGTCACACATGACCTGATTTTGTTTATTTATTACCGACCGTACGTTCCCCCCAAAAATACGTCAACATATTGTCGACGAGCTTCTCAGCCTAAATCACCCAGGCAACTGAGCTATACAACGCCTCATAAGTTCACGTTACGTGTGGCCACCATACCTCGGAAAACCTCACTCATGCTGGACCTCACTCACCCTCATCTTCACAGGTGAGGTGAGGGTGAGAGACAATGTTGAATAAAACCTGAGACTGGGGCAGAAGTGAGCATATAAGTCAGTGGTATTTTCCCATCTCAAAATGGCGGCTCGCACGCGCGATCCACCGGTGCTCTTTTGCGGCTTCAGAAGGATTGACGACATCGCAGAATATTTCAAAGAAAAATCTCTGAAATTAGGAGACCAACTTTATACGGGCCGTCGCGTGTTTGGCGAGAGAGAAAAGGTCGTTCATTCCACAGCTCCCAGCGAAGTTGTAGGGAAATGCCTCGCACAGATGAAGTCTGCTGTTTACGACGTCTCGCTTCAGGTGAGCGTGCCACCCG